AATCAGTTTCGACCTTATTTCAACCCTATTTTGACCAGATCTGCAAATGGTCAAAATAGTTTCGACTTCATGTATAGTCTGTGTAGTATGGTCAAGTCCATAATTCTTTCTGTATTTGGATGCAAACACTGGAACCTCCATGCAGAAAAAAAGAGATATTAACTAACTCATGCAATCAAACATAATAGTAAATGTTCTTATCAAATTCAATACTTACATGTACCAATCAAGTCCTGCAAAATCCTCCAATGCTCTGGAAAAGAATCTATGGGTGAACTCAGACCAGTAATGGTGCTCATTGGTGTTTGTTGCAGTGATAGGTGGAATAGGTTTAGTGAACAATTTAATTCTACAACACAAGATGAAAGGTTTAACATTAGTCAATGGAAGAAATCATCATTCAAATAACCAATACTTACATAGGTGACATTACTTCATATGGATATTTTTTAATTTGTCTTGTTTCAGTATCTTCATCTTTTGTCATAATCAAATCATCAGTTAAATTACTCCAATCTATAAGTGATTTTTTTACATCATTTTTAAAGTTCTATAAAATGTGATTAATATTTGTAAATGTTGCTTTGAAACCTAGTTATAATGGGTAAAAATAATAATCTTTTTCAATGCTTACCGTATAATAATCATTTATAACTGATGCCCAACTTTTTGGTAAAACTGCTTGTTTTTTAGGTCTAACCAGGGTTGGCAAATTGACTGGTCCATTAAGAACAGATGGATTTTGGACTGGTCCATTGCCATTAACAAAATACTAAATATGGTTAAAGTATTACACCAATGGACTCAATGGACCACCAATAGACCATCAATGGACCACACATTTGCCAAACTGGGTCTAACAGATAAAAGTTTTTTGTATTGTTCAACAGTTAAATAATTTGCAAAATCACTACCACCTCTTACATCCATTATATCATCTTTTGTACAGCTATGCAATGGAAATATTTAACATTCTACTCATGTGAAAGAAAAATCAAATCAGATAAGTTTAGATACTTACAAGTAAACAATATCTTTTTGTTTCTCCTTAAATTCTTTAAAAATTTTATTCAATAACATAGATGATGGTGATGTTAACTGAGAAGTTGTTGAAGTTTTGTAATTTGGTGGTGGTGATTGTACCTTGTTTATTTTTTCATTTATAATCTAAATATATTGATTTTAAAATTTTATTTTTTAATGATTTTTATAATACAAATTGACTCATTGATTATTCTTTAAATTATAAATTATGATATTAACAGTGTCAATAGTTGTTGTTTCTGATGATGATATCAACCTAAGAAACATAAAGACAAAAAAATTCTAAATTAAACTAGAGTGACAACAAGTTGTAATGCATCATAACCACCACCACCATTCTTAAAACACTTACTCACAAGCTCCTCGGTTGTCTTCTTGTCCTCTTAAATTTTTATAGTTGGACATTTTTTTTTTAAAAGACAAAAAAAGAAGTTTGTGATTTGATCAACGTGTACACTAATATATTAGTAATATAAATTAATGATGTTCGCGCATAATTTTATATGTAACGGGGGGTCAAGTGTCACTCGTATTACAGTCAGGGATACTTCCATATCGGGATTCGATTCCAGAATAGTCTGCAGATCAATTCATTATATGTTACAAATGAATTCACAAGATATTTCTTGTTATATCTATGTTACATTTTCTAAAAATAAATCGGTTTGTAGTCATAGTTACTTCTACTATTCATAATACCTACTATTAAAATGTCTGCCATCACAAGTGAAATCGTAAAAAAATATAGATTAACTCCTCAGATGGAGCTGTCTCAGCTAAGTGCCTATGCCAATGAATTCCGCACTAAAATTCCTGACTGGCACATTTGTAAAAATGCAAGAACCTGTCTCTGAGATCTTAAGTTTAGCCCAGAACAAATATCAGCACTCCTGCCAGATCAAAGAAAACAAAGCAAGCCAGATACTGTAAAAAATAAAGTTCAAAAAATTATGGAATCTACTGATCCAATTGGTGAAGCGTCTACTATAATTTTTCTTGAGAGTACATATGCAACGCCAGAGAATGTTATTGCAATTGATTCAGAACTCAAATGTATTCGGCATGGTCTGCGTGAAAAAGGGGCTTCTGAAAAGGTAATCAATGCTTTACAAGACACTGATGGTATCACTCAGGAGTCAAACAGGAAACAACCTGAAAATCGCAAGCTTCGTGCAAGAATTGGAATTTCCTCTTCTGAACATTTTAGTTTAGAATCTATAAATGCAAGACTCCAAAGCTATGATACTGCTAAATCACCCGACATTCAAGCTCTTGCAGATGTAATGGTAATGCTCTGTATGAGGCCAGCTGAAGTAACAACTCTCCGAATTTCTTATTTCGAATCACCAAATGATGATGCAGTGCATCGAATCTCCGATTCTCTTCCTGAATGGTGGGTTCCTGGATGTAATTGGTATGCAACCAGTTATGCTAAAAATCATAAAAACCATCCTCGGGAATTTCTTTTGATGGAAAAAAATCCAGAAAGCACTTGCCAACTACTTATCTGGATTCAAAAAGCGATAAAAAATGGTCATTTACATGATCCCAGTATTGTAGGTGTTAAATGGTTAAATAAATTTCTGAAAAAATATAATCTTGAGCCAGGTGATTTACGAAAAATTGGCACAGATCATGCTTGCATAGTACATGAAGGATGCAATGATGCTGACAGATTAAATATCCAAAGAAAAGCACTGTGACATTCTCCAGATGGTCCAGAAAACTATGCTATAATAAATGACAGGCAAAAAATTCTTCCTTCTGAGCCAAAAGATAAAGTTGATACCCCTTACAATGATTTGATTGAAGAACTTGATTAGACTATTAGTACTGGCACCAGTGGAATCTCTCCTCAAGATGGGATAGAACTTGCCTTAAAAGTTCATCTGATGGGGGTGCTTGTCCCAGAATTTGTTTGCAAATTATAATGCACATGTGATTTTCATCCATATATATACTGGATAAATGTTTGATTTTTTACCAAGAAATCATGCTTTGCATTATATCCATACCAGATCATTCTACACTTTCACAGTTACTATTTGGATTGAATTCTGACAAGCCTCCCAACATTTGAGACGATAAGTTTCTGTATTGACATAATCACCACTACCCCATTGTCCATTTATATTATTCCTTATATTATCTTTTTCATGGTCTTTATTGCATATAGGACAGGGTACTGAACTATTAAAATTATAAATATCACTATATTCATTACTATGATTTAATGATAAATAAGGACACAACTCCAACGCCATTCTGGATCATCAGGCAAAGTAGAAATTGGAGGATGGGATTTGTTAGATGTATTTACCTGGATTTCCAATGAAACCTTTTCAGGCAATGCACTTACCTCAGTTTCTGGTAATTTTTCTGAATCATTTGAGATAGATGGTTCAATCACATGTGCATTCTTTTTTGGAAAACGATTTATAATATTTTGAATTTGTGCAACTGTTAGTCTAGAAATTGCATCAGCGCTATATGTAATATGTTTGATTTTATCTATCCCTATTCCTTTAAATAATGTATAAATGTTTTTAGCTTTTTGGGTCATCTTACACAAATATTCTCTCTTAACACCAGGAAGATA